CCACCTCAGTTACAAGTTGAGGGTCTTTTCTTTTTTTTGTACTCTACCCCCGAGGCAGGTACCCCCTCTTGTCCCCAGTGCCCAGCAGAGCACGCCAGTGGGGAAGGCTTGGCAGAGAAGCGTGAACCAGCCTGGGTTCGATGGCCCACTGGCCTGACCTGAGGTGTACCTCTCTTCTGCGAGCCCCCGATTGTCAGTCCGTGACGTGGAACCACAGATGCCCGCACCCCACCCCCAGTCATAGGTGCAGAGAGAGGACATGTGGAGCAGGGTGGGGCTGGCCCGCTGGGTAACCCCCCGCCCGCCCATCCTGCCTTCCAGGGGTGCCGGAGGAGCCAGACCAGAGCCTGTCCAGCCCCGAGGAGGTCTTCCACTCTGGACACTCCCGCAATTCCAGCTATGCCAGCCAGCAGTCCAAGATCTCTGGTGAGGGCCCGCCCGGCCGCTCTGGTGGCCCGGCCCAGCCTGAGGAGCCCTCATGAGCACCCCGTCCTCATGGGTCCTCCCTCCCGCCCACCAGGTTACAGCACGGAGCACTCCCGCTCCTCCAGCCTCTCGGACCTGACACACCGCCGAAACACGTCCACCAGCAGCAGCGCCTCTGGTGGCCTCAGCATGACCGTGGAGGGCCCCGAGGGCAGCGAGCGAGAGCACCGGCCCCCGGAGAAGCCGCCCCGGCCTCCTCGGCCCCACCTGTCAGACCGCTCCTTTCGGTGAGCCCCGTTGCTCATTCTCCCTGGGGAGAAGGGCCCCTCCCACGAGGCCGCCAAGGCTTGGTACAAGGGTTGAGCACCCAAGGGAGCAGCTGGCACCTGCCCCGGGGGTAGCACACTGCAGAGGGCACGAGAGCCTTCTGAGCCACTGCTTCTCCAGCTGGAACCGGGGAGAGAGTTGGAGGGTGCCGAGTGCCTAGCGTGAGGCTCATAAGGGCATAGCGCCATGCCTGCGTATAGCGAGTGCTCACCTAATGCGTGTCCCTGCCAGCTGAGCGCACTGGTTCAGTGTGCTTTAGACCAGGTAGATAGAGTGGGCTAAGTCCACAGTGCGTCCACTGTGTGAGCTCAGGTGGCTTCTGAACCTCTCAGAGCCTCCACGTCCCTCCTTAAAGTCAGCACCGACATCCGAGGGTGGCTGTGAGGGCTTCGGACATTCTGCCTGGGCACCGTGTTCTGCTGGCACGGCTCTGACTGGACCCTCTGTTCTGTCCCTCCAGGCGGAAGAAGGACTCAGTGGAGAGCCACCCGACCTGGGTGGATGACACGCGCATCGACGCCGATGACATCGTGGAGAAGATCATGCAGAGCCAGGACTTCACGGACGGCAGCAACACGGAGGGTGAGCTGCCCACGTGTGCGTGTGCGCGTGTGCGCACGGGGAGGAGGGACCAGGCAGCTGCTGGCTCCAGGGGCCCCGCTCAGCCGCCATCCCCTCTCGTGTTCCCACAGACAGCAACCTGCGGCTGTTTGTGAGCCGCGACGGCTCCACCACACTGAGTGGCGTCCAGCTGGCCGACAGGTAGGGGGTGAGGGCGGGGCCTGGGGTGGGGTCCTCGGGCAGCATGAGACCAGCTGACCAGTGGCTCCAACGCCAGTTCTGTCACTGCAGCCTGACCCTGAGCAAATCACTTCTCAGGCCTCGGTTTCCCCACCTGCCAAATTGTGTGGGCAGCACATGTCTCAGCAGGAAGGGAGGCCGTCCACACCGTGCACTTGTCTGTGGCGTCCCAGGGGTGGTCCTGGAACACACCTAGCACACAGCCGGTCCACCTTTATCCGGGGCTCTGTTTTCCTTCCCCTTCATTCGGGATGTGGGAATCCCTAAAAACTTCAGGATGGTTCACGCACTTACTGGACAAATACCCGGTGAGCATCAGCTACCACCAGGCACTGAGCTCAGGGCTGGGACAGAGCAGGAGAATATGCAGCCCAGACCCCTGCCCTGAGGGTGCTCCAGACCAGCGGGTAGGAGCAGGCTTTAGGACGCTGGGGGACTGAAGGTGGGAGGGAGTGGGTAGAGGAGTGTCCAATCTGCAGGGTTGAGCCCATGTTTCTTGGTGGGGAAAGCTAGATAAAAGAGCTAGAGCGCAGTAGCCCAGGGCCAGGACCTGCCCTCTGCTGCTGTTTTGCTGACCCCTGCTGGCAGAGGTTTGAATTCCTGACTCCCTTCCAACAAGCAGCCTGGGCTGCCCTAGGTGGGTGGGAGGCTTCTCGGGAGGTTTATGAACAGCCCCGACTGCCTCATCAAGAAGAAGGCAGTCTTGTGGGCACAGGTGATGGCAGAGCTGGATGCCACGCCCCGTTTTTCCAGAGCCCCAAGGCCAGTCCTTGCTTGCCTCAGTCGCCCACCTTCCCAGCTTCCACTGGCCTCTTGACAAGCCTCATAACCTCTCAGTCTCTTTTATCTGTCTGTCAGATGAGATGGGGCAGCCCTGCAGGACAAGCTCAGGGCCAGGGCCTGTGCCAGCTCTGCAGCCCCGCGGGCAGCCCGGCAGCTCATCCTGACATGGGTGCCCAGGGTCTGTTTTGTCTCCAGCGAAGACTTAGTAGCTCTGAGCCTCGGTGTGAGCCCCACCCTGCTGTAAAGGGCCTGCAGGGCCTGGGCACGTGGAGCAGCCAGGAGGCATGCTGACCCCTCTCCCCCCACAGGGTCTCCTCCGGGGTCTACGAGCCGGTCGTGATCGAAAGCCACTGAGGAGCAGGTGATCCTCCTGGAGAAGAGCCTGCCATCGTGAGCAGCCAACCTGTGTCATTCCATGAAGGACTGTACCCTCCAAATCTCCAGCCAAGCCACATCTCATCTATGCCTCCTCCATGCGCTCAAGTCCCCAGATCATCATTCCATGTCCTCCCCTCCATGCTGGACCCTCCGGGCCCACTGAGGCCCAGGCACCACTGTGAATATTCTCCTCTGAACCACTAGAGGGCAGAAGGCCAGGACAAAAGTAGGACTGCCAGCCCTGGAGGCCGGCAGACCCCTCAGCCAGGGATAAGCAGTGGCTCCTAACCACAGGGCATCCTGTGGCTGGGGCCTCTTCCCTGCAGCTCCACTCACACCTAGAGCACTGGCTGCAGCCCCCGCAGCAGGGCCTGCCTCCATCACCCTTCCCTAGGATCCCGCCACCCTGACCCTCTGACTGCTTCGTGCTTCAGCTATCCCCTGCCTATAGTCCCGGGGACCCGCTGGCGGCCTGCTCCTGGGGACAGACCCCACCCCATCTAATGTCCTCCTGCTGCCCTGGCAGCCTGCATTTTGCACAATGCTTGACCTCTGCACAGCCCCATTGCCCCTGCCACCCCTTCCCGAGGATGCCCGGGCCCCGCCTGCTGTGCAGTCAGATGTCCAGGCCCAGCAGCCCGGCCGGAACAGGGTGCTGCCTCTCCTGCGTCCACTTAGGTCCCCAGCTTAGGTCTGGGACCCATGCCTGACAAGGACTGCCTGTCCACAGGCTCCCCTCTGCCAGGGCTGGGTCCTGAGCAGCTGGGTCTCCTGGCGGGAAGGCAGGGCAGATGGGGGCCTGGCTCCGCTCAGCTGGGCTTGGCAAGCAGGGGCCCCTTTCTATGCCCCAGGGTCAACTGGCCCAGGCTGGGGGTGCTGGGGGAGGCAGGGAGGCCGAGTGGGCTGGCCTGGAGCTGGCTTCCAGGCCAGGAACACACAACCCCCCTCTGGAACGGCCCACCCCACTGGCAAAGGCAGCAATGGAGCCTGGGAGAGGTGCTGCTCACCTTACTGAAGCTCTGTTCTCAGCACTTTCCCCACCCCACCCCAGCCTCGGTATTGCTTAAATGTGGATTCTGGCTGCAGCCAGGACCTGGACCCCCACACTCCCACCCTTCTTTGAAATGACTTTCATTTTGTATAAACCCAGCGGGCTGGTGTTTGTTTAGTTCCAAAGTTTTCTTTTTAATTCTTTTCTTCGTCTCTATTTTTTTCTCTCTTTTTGAGTTCACAGTTTGGTTTTTTTCTCCTTCCCCTGCAGGGAGGGGTAGGAGATCCTGTGTTCTGCTCTGCTTGCTGGCCGGGCTCCAGCAGGGCTGGGCATCTGAATGCGGGGAGGGGGTCAAGGATACTGATTATTTGGTGTGGGCAGGTAGGGGCCCTCCCCAGGCTGGGAGGGCACCTTGCCCCGTTTCCCATGTGCCCCTGCTGGCAAACGTTGGGGTTCTTGGTCCGAGAACCCATCGGCGTTGGGGCCAAAGCATTTCTGGATTTGGTTTGGTTTTTACACTTTCAAATCCCCTAGGTCTTTTTGTAGAAAATGAATGTTAGAAGGTGCCTGCTCCAGCAGGGCGGAGCTCTGGTCAGCTCTGAGGGTCCCTTCCTGCTCCTCGGATGCCTGGCACTTAAAAAAAAAGGCTGATAGCACTGTCTCCAAATGGGGTGCCCCCCTCCAAAGGTTGGGGGGTGTTGTCCTTTCTTTCTGTGTGTATGACCTCAGCCCAGTGGGCAGTGGGGGGCAAGGGGGGCGTTATATTCAGGGTGGTGGTTCTCATCTGGTTCAAAGTTCTGGGGCTTCAGGTACAGAACTGCCGGCCTTGGCGCTATTGGGACACTCCCTCAAAGCCAGGACCCCAGCCCTACCTAAGGCCAGGTCTGAGCTCAGCAGTCAACCCAGAAAGAGACGGAGCCAGCCTCACTTCTTGTGCCAGGTCCTGGGCAGGAGAATTGAACTAACTGAGAATTGGCTCACAACCAAATTAACATTGTCTAGAGCCAGAGGCCAGGTGCCTGGGCCTCAGCCCTTTGGCCCCCCTCAGGCTCAGTGAATCCCCACCAGGCACCCGCAGCTCCTAGACTTCAAATTCTATATAGAGAGATATATTATAGATATTTTTGGAAATGAATCAGTCTATGCAAAACCAGTTTGGAATGATCTTGAAAGACAGTTTAACATTTTTACAAAAAGATTTAAGGAAAATTAAAAGTCTGAACTATTTTTAGAGTTGTTTTTTTTTTTCTTGGTTACCCCACAAACTGACTACATGGTCTGATCTACCAGAATGGAAAATGTCCATTATTTTCCTCTTTCCAGTGGGGGTTAACAGAGAGATAAGGGGGAGGGGATATTTTGGTTTTTTAATTCCTCTCCTTTCTAACAGAATGCTGCCACCACCGCCCCCAGATTCAGCAGACTGTGCATCTCTGTCCCAGCTTCTAGCGTAGAAAATAACTGTAAGGGGAAATCAGTCTAGTGTCAATGTCTTGGTTTGGGGATTAAAAAAAATAAATGTTGCAGTTTTTGTTTTGGTATGACTGGGCTCATTGTGTGCCTCCCTACCGTGCCAGTGACCTTGGGATCAAAGGGCATAGGAAGGAAGCCGGATGTACAAGTGAGGTCATGTCCTAAGGGTGGGGGAGACACCCCTGGTTACAATCAGCATCACCACCTTTATTATTCAAATGCTAGTGAGACAGGCCCAGAAGGCACATATTTGTGAACACTGGAGGCAGGTCCTGGATTAGAACTTGTCTCTAACTTCAAAGCCCAAATCCTAGCCACTGTCCTGTGGCCCTCCCCCCTATCGGGGAACCTAATGGATGTGGCTAAAGGCAAATAACTCTGGTTCGTCCAGTTGCAAAGGGGTTGGGAATCTAGTCTGGAAGTCAGTATCCAGCCGGACCTGTGGGGGTACTGAGCCAGTCCCCGCCTCCTAGGCCCAGGCCAGACATGTCTAGGTTGGGCCTGAGCCCCTCTCCGCATTTCCCTGGCTCCAAGTTACCCAGAAGCTAGGCAGCTTAGCTAAACTCGGAAGTGGTGAGAAACCTGGGGGCTTTGGTGCCTTGCCCCCAGCCCAGCGTTAGCCCCACCTCTTCTCAGAGCTGGCCCCGTTTGGCTCTGATTATCTCCAAACATTAAAAAAATTGTGAAGTTGATTAACTGATGTGTACCAAGCCCAATCTGGATACATAATAACCTTGGACCTTACCCTCAGGGAGTGTTAGGCTGGGTTGAAGAGAGAAATCAGTGCTCATGTATGTGGAAGAAACAGCTGTATATCAAGCAAACAGCCCCGTCCAGATCAAGCCCATAAATCCAGTACTAGTCCATAATCCCTTGTCAGACTCACGCAACTACATGCAATGGTGGTGCAGGAAGATCACAGGCTGGTGGGTAAAGGCATATGGGTCCAATGGTGGTAGCCGAACCAGGGTCAGCCAGCAGGAAGGGGAGGCAGAGAGGGAGGGAGGTTCCAGGACCCTCTGGACAGGCTAGACTCCACCCCTACACTTACATAGCTTCAAGTTGACATGGAATTATGTAACTATCACAGGAAGCTAGCTAACTGAGCCAGACAACACATTGAGGTATTTCAAAAACTTGCTGGGAAATTTTCATCTTAATTCCACTTTTTGATGCCCCCTCCTAAACTAGCCAATTGAAAATACAGTGACCAGCCAGTGCCCCTGCTGTCTCCAGATGCTAAAGCTTCGGGGAGGGGTGGGGGGGATTCCCTGTGAGGGAGGAGCTGGCAGCCCTCTGAGCTGTGGGGAGGACTGTTCTAGGCCCTGGACATGGAGGGGGTGGGGACACCAAGGATGATCTGGCCCCAGCTTTCCTGGTATTCACAGGCTAGGCGTGGGAGGTGGGGCGGAAAGGGAGGGCTGGTTCCCTCGCCCACCACCCTGCAGGCTCGAGGTAGCCCCTCCTCCTTGCCCCAGACGTGGCAGTAAATATTCTCGGTACCTCCAACCGACGGGTTAGGAACCGAGAAGGGGAAGCGAAGCCAGGTTCTGGTGACTCCAGCCTGTTTCTGCCTCTCAGCCTTAGTTTCGTCACCGGAAAAAAAAAAAGAGAGAGACTTCCAGCCCCATTCCCAGCCCGCTCTGATTTGGGGACTATGGAATATTTGGAAATTAGCTAGATTTCTGGGGCGGGTGGAACAGGACTCTGTCCGGGGAATAGCCTAGGGAACAAGCGTCCCCACAAAGCCCTTGAGAAACTTCATTCCCCGACATGCAACGGGGAGGCGGGGCCTGCTGGTCTTGGGTAACGTAGTTCCGGGTAGGCCTGTGGACTACGACTCCCAGCGTGCCCCGCGGGTCCCGGATGCCGTACCAGAGCCGGAAGTAGCTTGCGGCTCCGGCGTCGGAAGTCGGGGTAATGGTGAGTTTGGGGCCGACTGCGGGGGCTTGGGGCATTTCAGGGCGGTGGCTGGGTTCCTCCCAGGAGTTGGGTCCTCGGCGCTCGGAGCCAGGGTCGCCTTCCACCAGCCCAGCGTGCGGTTGAGGACGCCCAGGCCTGCTCCCCCATGCCAATCCCAGAAATGGACTCCTTCGTCCACCCTCCGTACGTGTGTGGAATGAATGGGAAGTCAGGGCAGGCTGCGACGCGCCCGGCGCTTTAAAAGGAGAGTCCGCGTCCTCAGCCGAGCCCTCCCATCCATTCCTCCAGGCCACGGGAACAGACCAGGTGGTGGGACTCGGCCTCGTGGCGGTTAGCCTCCTCGTCTTCACGTACTACACCGTGTGGGTGATCCTCCTGGTATGTCTGCCCGCCGCCCCGCCCCCACCCCCCATCCCCGGCCCTAACACCGACCCTGGGAACATGGGAGAAGCAACGTGCTGTGCTAGGGGTTTTGCCGGCCTTACCTCGCTTAATCTCTAAAACAGCAAGATAGGTAAATGCCAGCCGTGCCCCGTTTTGTATATGAGGATAAGCCGGGGCTCAGAGAGAAAGGCTCGGCCCAAGGTGGGATGTTTAACCACTGCACCAAGACGCCCTGTTGCTTTCCCTTTGATGGGAATTCTAATGGATTCTATGAAGGCTTGTGGGATCCCCCCTCCCCCCATATGGAAAACTTTGTCAGTTATAGCTTAGGGAGTACAGACTGCTAGAAAGGCAAAATCTTGCAAGATTAAATGAGTAAATCCCTTTCAGAGGGTGGTGGGGTCGGGGGGTGGAACCATTTAGGACCAAAGACCTTGGAGCTCAGGCTGGGGAATCTCAGAATTCCTTCTATACTTCGTACCCGAGCTAGTGAGAGTGGCTTGGGTGAGCACCAACCCACCGAACAGGTGCCCCGTAAGCAATCAGTGAGGGAATGAATGGGGAAAACAAACTGAGAAACCCCAAGGCTGGCCCAGTACCCTGGATGGGCTCAACTCCCTGGACAGAGGAGGTGGGCTGGTCGGGCTGCGGCTGTTGAGGGAGCCCAGGCAAGGCAAACAATGCTCATCAGAGCTCTGCCCTCGTGCCAGCCGTTCATCGACAGCCAGCATGCCATCCACAAGTACTTCCTGCCCCGAGCCTATGCTGTTGGCATCCCACTGGCCGCAGGCCTCTTGCTGCTCCTGTTTGTAGGTAAGTCATCACTCCCCTTACCCCATCTGGTGGGCCCTCGTGACCTCTTATCCTTGAAAATACTTCCACCCTTTGGCACTTGTTGTAGGTCCCCTGGAGGCTCGCTGTCCCCAAGCCTTTCCTGGGCGTTTGTTTCCTTGTCTAGACTGCAAGTCTGCCCGTCCTCACCCCTCCAGTCTTCCCAGTGCCCCGAGCTTATAGGACTCTAAAGTGATGTCTACCTTTTCCCTCGCGTCCCTCTGCTCACACCTCAGTCACCTCTCACCCTCTAGTCATCCTGGTTTGTAGTCCAGGCACCTCTCTGGCGCCCATGCTTTCGTGCGGTTGGCTTTCTAAGGCCTGAGCCGGTGGTTTAGTCATTGCTTTGTCCACAGCACTTGGCACTGGGCTGGGGCTCAAAAAAGTCATTTGGATGGTTCGCCAATTGCATTGGACGGTAGAGTCCATGGGTGCCTGGAGGATGAATGTTGAGTAGACAGGTGGACGACTGGATAAACGGGGTCGGTGGAATGAGTAAATGGATACCTGGATGGGTCTTATTCCCTGTCGAATGTCAAGACAGCGAGTGAAGTGACTTACCCATGGGAGGCATTCCATGTTGTGTGTGTGGAATGGCTGAGTGGATGTGTGGCTTGATGAACGACTAGGAAGGTGACCAGCTGACCTGGAGCGCGGTGGGGCAGGTGCATGGTCCTGTGTTGGCCACTCTGCCCTGCCCAGCACCCGAGCCCCGGTCTTGTGTGGTTTGTGTGTTCCAGGAGTGTTCATCACCTACGTGATGCTGAAGAACCAGAAGGTGACCAGAAAGGTTCAGTAAAGGTCCAGCGGGGGATGAGCTGCCCGTCCCTTCTCTGCTTCCCTCCAGGCCAGAGACCTTGGGAGGGAGTCGGCAGGACCATTCCAGACACCGAGGGCCCTCCGGCCTGGCTGTCCTACAGTCATGCCCATGGGCAGAAGCTGTTCAGGACTGGCTCCTGATTGGACAGAGCCCTGCTCAGCCCCAGCTCTCCCTTCTGGAAGCCAGGAGGGAGGGGTGTGTGGACGTCTCCTCCTCCCGGCTTCGGGCCCAGGACCTGAAAGATGTTGGTTCTCCCCACCTTACCTTCAGACTCCTGTCACCTTTTCTTTGGGGTTCTGCCCTCACTCTGCAGTGTCCTGCCCACCACCTGCAGATGCTGGATCAGTGTCCGAGGGAGCAGGTAGTCTCTCCCCACCGTGGCCTGCTCCCTCGCAAAGGCAGCTTTCTCCGACAGCCCCCAGCGGTCAGACTGTACAAGGACTTCAGGACCTGGAAAGCCATGAAGAAAGACAGCCAGACAGAGCCTGGGGTAATCGCCAGGCATCAGGGCACATTAGAGTGGCCACACTGGGCCCCCAGACTGCCCACTCATGGAGGCCCAGCCCAGGGGAGTTTCACAATAAAAGTTGATCAGGTGTTGGTCTCGGTGGTGCCGCTCTTGACCAGGGGATTGGGGCAGCACCAGGACCGGTGTGAGGCACTCAGAGCTAGCCCCAGCATTGGCCTCAGGTCACAAGACCCTGGTTCATGCAGTGAGGGTACTGCCAATGTCTGCTCTGGGCCAACCCTGAGCGGAACCCTGGGGAGAAAGCAGGGACTGGGACAGGTGTGGTTCCAGCCGGGTGGCTCACGGCTGGGGAATTGAGCTGGGCAGTTAGTGGGCGTGCTTGGAGAAGGAGCTTAGCTCCTCTCCCCACCAGCTGTCCAGTGGGGGGGGGTGGGGAGGTTGGCATAGCAGTCTGCTACAGACAGCTTGACGGCTCACTGGCCAGCCTAGCTTAGCATTTCCAGGACCCTCTGGCAAACCTCTTAAAAACCCAGCTGGCCCTGCACAGCAAGGACGACTCAGCGAGAACAGAGCTGGCGCTGCTGTGTTCCGGGTGACTGGTCTGACACTGGCCCTCGGCTTGCCAACATTCCTCCCTCCCCTCCCACTGCTGTGGCAGAAATTCCTGTCACCAGGGGCCTCGCTAGGGGTACAACCTCTGCCTCCTCTCAGTAAGAGCCTCCTGTTTCATGAAGATAGCCACTGACAGAACCCACCAACAACCCAGAAATTGCCCCCGTGTACCCACCCCCCACCTCACTCCCCTCCACAGACAAACTTCCCCAGAGGCCAAGGATGCCTGCAACCTGTGTTTCCTTACCTCCCATGCTCAGCATCCATCCCCGTCACCCACTAGTGCAAGTAGTAACATCCAGTCACTTTCCTCGACCCCTCTGACACACTGGGGAGAGTCCTGTGGCATGGCCCATCCAGCCGGAAATGTTCTCTGATGCTCCACTCCTTCCTGCCTCTCAGTCTAGAGGACCTCAGGGCTCACTCACAGATGTTACTCAACTCCCTGGGACCTTGTCACACCCCAGCTTGCTCTGTGTCTGCACCCAGGCACCAAACTAACCTCACATTCCCCATTGGATGGGCTCCCTCATTGTCGCCTCACTTGTCAGCTGAATTCACAGACTTGCCTCATCAAAGCTGTTTCTCCTCTCATGCCCACATCATTCTGTGTCGCTGCCCCCAGCAGGAGATGTCTATCTCCCTCCTGTCACTTTCCCCTCTCCCCAGGAGCTACCTCCCTAGAGCAAAACCACCATCAGCTACCTCAGCCACTGATGACTGCCTCCCTGCTCCCCACTGCTGCTCTGGGCCCTCCAGTCTGGCTACATGCAACAGATAATGTGACCTCTTAAAACATCTAGTTCCATGCTCATGGGTAGGAAGGCCTAATGTGAAAACATCAAAAGTAGGCCTCTCACCCCCCCAACCTCAGAATCTGCACAGTCACCGTAGTTGAACAGCCTGGTCCTGGTGCAATGGAACAATAGATAACCCAACCATCTACAGACAACTGGTCTTCAACAAGGGGCCAAAACACGTTAAATGGGAAAGAATTAGATGGTATATGAATGATATATCAATACAACTCATAAATGGGGGAGTAGTCTCTTCAACACGTGCTGGCAAAGTTGGATCTCTATCTGCAGAGGAATGAAACAGGATCCACACCTCACCCCGTGCACCGAAACAAGATGAGTTCAAGATCTAAATGTAGAGCCCCGAGCTTTAAGACGATCCATGAGAAAATAGGGACAAACTTCAGGGTCCTAGTACAGAACATAAACAATGAAAGAATAGACTGGGGTCTACTAAAAATAAGGCAATGCCTCAAAAGAGAACTCAAGACTGGAGCAATGATACATCCAACAAGGGACTAACAAGCTTGAGATGCTCGTAATCGCTCCCGTGTGAGAGAACAAATCCAAACAAGATACCACCTTACCCCGGCATTAGCCACACAATTAAAAAAATAAACGTTGGGGAGGGTCTAGAGCAGCGGTCCTCAACCTGGGGGGTCAAAAGACCCTTTCATAGGGGTTGCCGGATTCATAACAGCAAAATTAAAGTTACAAAGTAGCAACGAAAATAATGTTATGGTTGGGGGGTCCCCACAACATGAACTGTATGAAAGGGTTGCGGCATCAGGAAGGTTGAGAACCACTGAGCTAGAGAAATGAGCCCTCATGCTGCTGATGGGTCTGCTAAACACTGGAAAGCCATGCTTCAACCACTACGGTACAGTGCTGCTTCAAGCAACTGGGGGCAGAAAGTCCATAGGACCTGCAGTCCCTTTGAGGGGGACATACCCTAAAGAGTAAGAGCCATACACCCACTATGTTCATCGCAGCACCTCTCACAATAGTAAGTACGTGGGGACAGGCTGAATCCTCAGCTGGCTGGATGAAGGAACGTTGCTACCTACACACCATGGAGTACTACGCATCACTGGAAAACGATGATGGAGCTGCGCAGGATAGACCTGGCGAACAGGATGCGGAGTGAAAGTAGTCAATCACGAAAGGACACATTCACGTAGTGTATGACATCGCTGTCGTAAAGAAAAAAGTGAAAGGTTTTCACACCGAAGGAACAAACTTTGATGGTTCCCGAGGGAAGAAGCAATCATCTGGACTCCAGCTGCCAAAGGATGAGGGAGATCGTCTTCCCCAAGGGGAGAAGAGCGAGCCAGAGGGTCGGGAGGAGCTGGGCGGCAGGGGCTACGGGCTGGGATAGATAAGTAGCATTGCTGACTATAAACCTGATAACCTGACATATCACATCCTCACCTGAATCACAATTTCTTAATGATGTTTCTTAAGATAAGGAAAACACATCCGAGCATGTTTCTCAACTCACAATGTGTTATGGAGTGGAATTCTTTATCTCCAGAATAGGTGTAGATCCCAGCGTCACCTGTGATTACAGTCCTCATCGGGCGGGAACGGGTGGTTATATTAGGGAGGCAGGATTAGTGTGTGTCTCCACTCAACCGCTTGGGATGTTAAAAAGCGGTTAAGAAGTGAGCAGAGCCTGGGGGCAGAGAGATGCCTCATGAGGACTGCCCAGGAGCTTTCTGCTTCCATAGAGATGTACAGCCAGAAACCCACGGGGGTGGGGGTAGGGGGAGCAACTCTACCCTGCTCTGCTGGGTCATGGCAGTGAGCTTGGCGGGTTTGTTTTTGTTTTGAGACAATGAAGACAATGCGTCTCTAGGCTCCCATCCTTCTCCCTGCACAGCGGACAGGGCCTTGCACCCTGGGACACTGTGTGGTCGGTCCTTTGCATATCCTACTCGTTCATTGACTCATTCAACATAGACTTGTTGAGCCAGGAAACCAGACAGCCAGGATTCCTGCCCTTGTGGCTCTCACATGCTGGGGAGAGATGTACTAAATAAGCAAGACAAGCTCTGACAGTGTTGAAGGTGATGAAATAAAGCCAGGTGATGCCATCAGAGTGAGAGCTTACCTCATTCATTGCTGGTGGGAATATCAAACACTGTGGCCCGACAGCCATGGGCACAACAGTCTGGCCCTTCCTCAGAAAGTTAGGCACTGGATTAGCATACGGCCCAGCCATCCCTTGTAATAGCCCAGAGGGACTGAAAACAGATACACCTATGTTCATTGCAGCATTGTTTAATAATCCAAGGATGGAAATAGCCCGTGTCCATCAATATATGAATGGATAAACAAAATGCAGTCTACCCAGCAATGGAGCTTTGAAGACATGAGGTTTCTGGCACACAGGTGAACCTTGAAAACATGATGATGCGGGAAACAGAGAGCGGTACGGGAAGAGAGTACGTATGGATGAATCCTTTATTTTCATCTATTAAGAAGCCTAGCAGGCTGGGCTTTCGGTGGTGGAGGGAGGCTTTCACCCTGCTGAGTTGGAGGTGAGTCCCAATCACATTCTCATAATTAGTATTGTTCCCCACTACATCCTTCCATAATAGTGCTACCTTACAGTTAGTTACCTCTTACAAGCACGGGCCGGTTGCCATCTAGCCGGCAGCTTTAACTACAGAGGCATCCATGTGTTTTTGCTCTCCAGGCTTTGAAGACAGCCACTCCCCTTTACCTGACCCAGGGACTTTTAGGGTTAGAGTACAATCCACTTTGTTACATATGTGGTTACCTGTAATTGGGGGGCTTGCACTCACTCCTGAGTGTATATTAGCCTTGGTTGGAAATACATTCTCTCTCTGCGTGGACCTGAAGTTATTATGGTCCGGAGGTGAGCTCTAGCATGCTTTATCTTTTCTGATGTCTTTAATTTTACCCCTTAATTAAACAACCGCCCCTTAGATCCATTCAATTGTGGGGGCTGGTACCCCACAGATGGTGAGCAACCTAGTCACAGAATAGGTGTAAAGAACAAATACTAAATGGCCCCGCTTAGATGAGATAGTAAGAATAGACATGACAGAGATGCCCCTCAGTGGTTGTTAGGGTGAGGTGGAGAGGGAGAAAGAGTTATTAAAGGTCACCACACTTCTGGAGGCGACCTTGTGGTGCAATGGTTAAAGTGCTGGATGGTTAACCAAAAGGTCAGCAACTCAAACCCGCTGGTCACTCCATGGAGAACTGTGGTTTGAACGGGGGTGCCAGCCCCCCACCACTAATGACGGGTTTGATAGGCACAATTGTATGGTTGAGATATATAAATATTATATTAAAGTCTTAGAGAGCATGAGAGATAGAAGAGAGATTGAAGTAATGGAGTCAGACACATTTCATGGTAGCAATGCTCACCTCAGCTCCGCTTGGTGGTCCACGTGGAGAGAGGGGGAAGGGAAGGAGGACAAGGGGAAAGGGAACAGGGGAGTGAGGATGGGAGAGGAGAGGGGGAGCATAAGAGAGGTCAAGGGAGGAGCCAAGAGAGCGAGAGAGATCTCTATTGCTAACCCAGGCCTATATACCTTTGTGGAGGTGTGCAAGCCCACTAATTATAGGTCAAGACATATGTCACAGGAAGGGGTTGCACTATAGGTTATACAGCAATGAGAGGGGGACAGTCTAGGGACATACACACAATAGGAGGAGGAGGGATTGGAGGTATACAGGTGACAAGATGGGCAGGTCCTAGAGTCAGGATGGCAGCTGGATCTCCATAGGAATCATTATCAGTAGGGTGTGAACCCTACCTACAGGAACCAAGTTAATGGTCGGTCACAAGCCTTAGCCCAGCAGCAGGGAGTAGTCTGGTGGGGTGAGACAGCAGTCTGGCAGTGATTGTCTCAAGGGAAATAATTTTTATCCTCAGCTGCAAGCAGTGTCCTAAGTCTAACATAATTGGGGGCGAGGACTTGGGAGAAATCTCTCTGTTTTCCCACAGGGAACCATGTGGGCTTCTGTTTCCATAGAGTGACAACTGTGGACCCTCTGTGACGCTTGCAGTCTGGTCTTACAGGATCAGCAGTGGCTTGGGGTTCTGCTTAGGTCTGGATTGGATTGGGTTTCTGTTAAAGGGGATGCAAAACATTAGAAAATGAACAGGGGTGATGTCTGTACATCATGGTGAGTGTGGTTTGTAGTTAACCGCCCTGGAGTGAGCCCCTGTCTCACTGGTGACCCGGTGTGTTAGAGTAGTACTGCCCCACGGGGCTCTCTAATGCCTGCACTTCGTCTTCCCCGCAAACAAAAAGACAGTGTCATTGAGACAATTCAGACTCTCAGCAACCCCATCGCACAGCGTAGGCCTGCCGGGTGTGTGTGTGTGTGTGTGTGTGTGTGTGTCGAGACTGTCACTCTTTATGGGGGTACACACCGAGGTTTGCAGCCGCTGACCTTGTCGTTTGAACTGCTTCCACCACCCAGGCTCCTTGAAGGACATTTGTGCCACTAAGGTATTTAAAAATGGTTGGATGGGCAAATGTCATACACATTTCACCGAAATTTTTAAAAAGAGCGAGAGCCCAAGGTTCTTTCTGGGGGGTGACCCGAAGGAAGGAATAAACGTCAGGGTTGGGTGGTGGGTGGTGGATTTCAAACAAAGAGGAACAGCAGATTAAGAAAAGAGAGAGAGAGAGAGAGAGAGAAGAAACAGTTTGGTGTGGGCTCCTCCCCACGACCCCAGCTGGGGCTGAAGTGTAGGGAATGTGGTGGAAGATGGGACTGCAGAGTGGGCAGGGCCACAGCACGCTGGGCCTTGGGTCGAGGCAGGGTTTGAATTTTGTTGTGGTGCCTTGGGAAGCCACTGATGGCTTTAAGCAGGAGAATGACATCATCTGATTCATGCTTTTAAAAGATCCCTCTGGCAGCGGCTGCAGCGGCCCTCCCTTGTGCTCACCACCGAATCCCCAGGGCTTAGCACTTAGCACTGCCCTTGGCCCGTAGTGAGTGTTCCCCAAAAATGTGCGTTGAGTGAATGCATGCCGCCCCTGCCTTCCGGTGTGACCTAGGTCGTTTTTTCTTGGGACCTTAGTTCTCTCACTCTGAAGTGAGTAAGGGAATTCAAGCCAGTGTGGGTGGGGGTGGGTGGTACTAGATTTAGGCTACTCTGCCTCTCCGTGAGGCCCGGGAGACGAGATGAGTCCCTCATCCCAGAGAAGCAGTTAGGGAGCCCTGCCTAGGGAGGACCCTAACCATTGCCTGGGGCCGCGACCCCGCCCCGCACTGGACAGCGGTCCGAAGGATGCTGCAACCCCGGGGCGGGACCCGCAGGTGATTGCCGGCGCCCTGCGCGCGGATTGGGTGCAACCGTGACCAGCATCTTACTATTGGCCGTCCCGGAGACAGGGGCGGAGCTTGACTCCTGCAGCGGGGCAGCAGGGCAACGCGGCCAGAACCCGGGAAGCTGCTGCGCTGGCCATGGCTGCGCCGAGTCCCGGCCCCCGCGAGGTAGGTGCGGACCCAAAAGAGGAAGGAGAGGGAAGGGTTGGGGACAGGGGCCGGCCCGCTCCTGCCCTAGAGGCGCGGACACGCCCCACCATCCCAGTTCAGGGAGGGGTCCTGCACGGGGTGAGCACTAGGACACGCCCCATTTGGGTCACCGGTATAAAGCTGGAGTCTGATGGTACCCCCCCCCCATATAACTGCCTCGGTTTCCTCATTGGGAAAATGGAGGTGGCAATAAAAGTGGCTGTCCCTACTGCTCATAGGTCAGTTGGTATGAACTCCGGCTCGCAACCCTCCGCTCTGGGCCTGGCACACACTGGCAATTCAGCACAGACAAGCGAAAGAGATGCCTGACTTACCAGCCTGACAGCTCCTTAAACCCAACAGTAGCAGCCGTTCTACCTGCCAGGAAGGATCCCCATTTTACTGATGGGAAAGTGGGGTGCAGAGATTAGTTAGTGACTGAGCTAAGGTTACACCGCTGAGGGGAGGCCCGTCGGCAGCTTTGAGTGCAGAACACAAGCTCTGCCAGCTGGCAATAATGCTACCACCGCCACGAAGTCGATTCCGACTCATAGCGACACGCTATAGAAGCGGTTCTCAGTCTGTGGGTCGCGACCCCTTTGAGAGGGTCGAATGATCCTTTCACAGGGGTCGCTTAAGATCATATTTCCGATGGTCTTAGGAACCGCGACACCACTCCTCTATCTCCAAGCGGTCCCCCCACATGCAGATACGCCCACATACGGGGTCACCACCACATGAGGAACTGTATGAAAGGGTCGCGGCATGAGGAAGGTTGAGAGCCACTGCTCTATAGGGTTTTTGATACTGTAAATGTTTACAGGCGCACGCAGCCTCATCTTTCTCCAGTGGAGCGGCTGGTGGGTTTGGGTCTTGAGGCTAGCTTGGGGTAGCTGCCCATTGCCTACCCACACTGCCACAAGGACTCCTTCGATGCTAATGGTACTGATGGTAATAACCTGTTTGGGGTTCTGAGTGCATACCAGGCACACCTTAGCAGATCAGATCAGATCAGATCAGGGCAAGCACTACCCCTATTTCATAGCCAAGGACACTGAAGCAGAGAGAGGTGGTGGGGAACTCCTGAGTAGAGAAGGTGGGATTCCAACCTGGGCTGTCCAAAGCCTGAGCCTTATTCCCTGTGCCTCCCTCCCACCAGGTCCTGGCCTGCTCCCCAGAAGCTGGACGCAGAGCAGCTGCCTCAAGGTCCGGTCGCCACAGCCTCCTCTGGCGATTGCGAGACAAGCAGTGCCGCCTGGGCCTGTTTGAAATTGGGCCAGGCCATGAGCTGCATGGGTTAACATGCATGATGCAGGCAGGGCTGTGGGCTGCCACCCAGGCCACCATAGACCACCCGCCCACGGTGAGTGGACAGTCTGTCCTGGGCAAACCATAACACTGATGGCAAACCCAGACTGGTGGGCTGTCCTGCTGATATCACTGGGCTGGGGGTCACAGGGCTATCAGGAAGAGAGAACAGAGCCAGGCCATGGACAGAGGGACAGTCTGGGGTGGGAGCTCAGGGAGGACGATGGAAAGCCCAGAGTGTGTTTGGACTTGTGAAGAAACTCCTGGCCCTGTCGGTTGCCTGCCGTGTGACTAGAACAGAGCCTCAGCCCCTGGCTGGGCTTCTCTGTCTTCTTCTGGTTAATGGGGGTGGGGTTTTATACTCCTTGGTCTCTAAGGCCCTCCTTGATTGCTTGGTTGAGAAAGGACCCACTCCTACTCAGCTAGCTTCACCCCTCCTCCCTAGAGCTCAAGCTGGAGCCAGACTGGCTCAGCAGAAAGGGTTTGCCAAATGCAAACTCAGCAGCCAATCAAGCCTGTGTGAGTGTGTGTGTTGGCTGTGCGTGTGCACACACAGTGTGTGGCTGACCAACCACCTACATCAGGGACCTGGGGGTCCAGGGAGACTGTGAAGTCCAGAGGGAGCCCTGGAAACGTCATCCCCCGCTGAAAAGCTCCTTTGTCTCCCAAGTGCCTGTGGGAAGGAATCCTGGCTCTTCCACATAGCCTCAAGATCTGACTAGTTCAAGCCCAAGGGCCAACTATCCAGCCTCCCTCACACTCCATCCCCTGGTACAGAGATGGCAGCTGGCTTCACTTGACCAACACACCTAGGCCTTGGGCTGGGTCACAGTCTTCTCTGTACATCTCAGGGGGGAGTGCAGATGCTTGGAAATTCGGGGTCAGGCAGTGGGGGGCTTGAGGGGCTAAGACTTGCCCCTCCACCCCTCCCTCCAGGGCCCATCCAGCCAGGAGGATTTTTCAGAAGTTCTGACCCAGGTTCACGAGGTAGGATGCCCAAGACTCTTGTGTGAGAGGGGGTGCGCCTGCCTTTGCCACTTCTCCTGTCTCTCCACCTGTGCACAGGGAGTAATTGTCTGCCTCAGGGTCTTGCAGGAAGGGTGTTCTTTATCCTGATCCTGGGGACCAGGGCTACCTGCACACACTTGACCCAAGTGGAGGCTCTTCTGGCTCATCTCCCTCCCCCCAGGGCTTTGAGCTGGGCACCCTGGCAGGGCCGGCCTTCGCTAGGCTTCGCCGCTCCCTTGGCCTGGCTGAGGAGGACTATCAGGCGGCCCTGGGCCCTGGAGGCCCCTACCTGCAGTTCCTGGGCACCTCCAAGAGCAGCGCCAGCTTCTTCCTGTCGTGAGCAGGCGGCAAGGGTGGGCGTGGCGGCGGCAATTTTCTGAGGGGTGGGGGAAGAGAAATACAGCATCCAAGGCCAACGAGGGTCAGAGTGCCTGGAGGCCAGATGGGGACAGGAGAGCCTGAGGGGTAGGGCCCTGGAGGAGGGCGGTGTGAAGATGGACCCTCCCCACCCTTGGCAAGAAGGCTGATGGTCAGCCGACGCGCCTCCAGATCGGCTTTGGGCTTTGGCAGTATCCTTTCCCTCTGCCCCCCCTCCCCCCCACTCCCCGCAGCCACGACCAGCGCTTTTTCCTGAAGACACAACTGCGCCGGGAGATGCGGGCGCTGCTCGCCCACCTGCCCCGCTACGTGCAGCACCTGCAGCGGTACCCGCACTCGCTGCTCGCCCGGTTGCTAGGTTCGGCCTTCTCAGGATCCGGAAACGCGGGACAAGCGGGAGGGGAGAGGGCGAGACGGGAGAGAAGCAGTTCTGGGCTCCGGGGTTGCGGGGCCAGGGGCTGGACCCCGAGTGGAGGCGGGTCTTAAACGGCGGAGGACCGGGGGGCGTGGGCGAGGGGCGGAGCCCACGAAAGAGGGACGTCCTTAGTGGGGCGGGACCAATCCCATCACGGAGCGAGGGTTGGTGAAGGGCGGTCTGGGGGCGGGGCTTGGAGGCGCGGGCTCAGAGGGCGGGTCTCAAGGAGGCGGGGCGTGGAGCTGGCCCTGGGGCGGTGTGGACCGGGGGTTAGGGGCTGGGGCCCACTCACCAAGCTCTCTCCAATTCCAGGAATGCACAGCCTGCGAGTGGCCCAGGGCAGGAAGGTGGGTGAGGCCGAGGCGAGAGGCCCGCCGGGGGAGGGGGCAGCTGGAGGGTGCGATCCTGGCCTCTCTCCCTTGTCCCCCTCGCCCCCAGAAATACTTCATCATCATGCAGAGCGTCTTCTACCCGACTGGCCGCATCGCTGAGAGGTGAGTCTCCTGGAGAGGTGAGCCTGACCAGAGCCCAGCCCGCCCTCCCCCGAAGCAGCCACCCTGCAGATAGACAGGAGTAGATGGGGAGACTGAGGCTGGAGCCAGGAAACGGACGTTCCCATGGCCACTAGCCCGGTGGGTCAGACAAGAATGCCATGACAAGCCTCTTTTCTTAGAAAAAAAATTTGTTTTTGAACAGTTTTGTTGGCACACAATCCACATATAATACAATTCAGTAGTATAATCATATCAAGAAGAATTGTACAATCATCACTGCAATCCATTTTAGAACATTTGCTTTTTCTTTTTTGTTGGTTTTGGTTTTTTTTATTAAATACGTTTATTGGGGGCTCTTACAGCTCTTATCACAATCCATATATCCATTGTGTCAAGCACATTTGTACATATGTTGCCATCATCATTTTCAAAGTATTTTCTTTCTACTTGAGCCCTTTATAGCAGCTCCTCGGTATTTTCATTCGCTTTTCTTGTACTCTTTGTTATTAGCTGTCCATTTCCCCCCAACCTCCCCTGCCGCCCCCCAAGAAACCATTGATCCAGTTGGTATCTCTGTCGATTTACTTATCCTGGATTTCACAGACAGAAAAACATACTTAAACCAACAGAAGCAGAAAATATTAAAAAGTCAAACAAATTTAAAGTGGGTCAAGAGGGAGATCAAACAGTAAGGTATTACATTCTAACCTAACTGCATCTTCAATAGCCCACTGTACAGTGCATTCTGCGTGCTGGCAAAACTGGCCGCATCTCTGACCCGGATCAAGGAGGCCGGTGGTGCCCTGGTTATAATCTGCAAGGTCAGCAGTTTGGGACCACCAGCCCCTCTGAAGGAGAAAGATGGAGTTTTCTTCTCCCGTAAACAAGCCCACAGGGCAGTTCTACCCTTTCCTATAGAGTGGCTAGGAGTCAGCATAGACTCCATGGTAGTGAGATGTGTGTGTGTGTGGTCTATGATCAAATGGAATTCACTGGAGGCATAATTTCTACTTTGTTTTTTTTTTCCTTTTGTTAATTGAAACAACTTTTAAATGGGTCAAAAAAGGAGATCAAATGCTAAAGTTCAATGCATTTTAACCCAACTACCTCTGCCATCATAGACTTTACAGGTTATTCACATCCCTCAACTCTGGTCCAAGGGGATTCACCGGCGGCACCTGCCCTCCTGCACACTCGGTGGACTAGGCGCTTTCCAACCAAGTACACTCACACACACATACAGACTTGACCCCCAGAGCAGCTCCCAGAGGATGTGGTGTGGTGTGGTGTAGTGTTCACGCCCTTCCTCCCTGTGGGACAGAGTAGGACTGCCCCTCGGGGTTTCCAGGGCTGTCATCGCTTCCGAAGCAGACCCCCACAGCAATCTCCTGTGATAGATCCCCACCACTGACTTTGGGATCACAGGGAGGTGCGTAACCACTGGGCCACCAGGGCTGTTGTTACCACCCCCATTGTATAGATGAAAACAGAGGAAGGGAAGGGTCATACGGCTCAGAAATGAGGGAGTGGGATCTGAACCCAGCCTCTCCTGACTGCACATGGCCCGAGGTGCCTCCCGCCCTGGTTCTGCCCACAGCCACCCCATGAATGTCCCCCTGACCCCGCACCGTCTGCTTCCTTCAAGTTGTCCTCATGCTGCACTGGTGTCTGGAACACCCCAAAAGATGACAAGGTGCTGAGAGGCGGGATAGGGTAAAGCCTGGGGCCAGCTTCCAAAGGCCCGAGTTCAAATGTCTGTTCTGCTCCTTCCTGTCTTAGGCAGGGCAGCTACTCTTCCCCCCCCACACCCCCAGTGCTGTTTCTTTGTGTCCGAGAGGAGCAATGATGGGGAGGCTTGTGCTGAGGATTCGAGCTATGTGTGGGATGTGTGGGATGGGGCAGTGCGCGTGTGAACAGCACACACACACACACACACACACACACACACACACACACACCAGCGCATGCTCTTGTTTCCGGGGAGGGACCTTGTGAGTCTCAAAGTCTGGCTTCTGTCTACTTGCCCAGGTATGACATCAAGGGCTGTGAGGTGAACCGCTGGGTGGAACCAGCCCCCAAGGGCAGCTCCCTAGTCCTGGTGCTGAAGGACCTCAACTTTGAGGGCAGAACCATTAACCTTGGTGAGCCACGGCATGGTCCCTGCCTGCTCTTTCTCCATTCCACGTGAACTTTAGAAGGGTGTCCTGGTTCTGTCTGTCCTGGGCCCTAGTGCTCCAGCCTAGACTCTAGAGTCAGGAAGAGCAGCGTTCAAATCCCAGCTCCACAGCAGAGGCTGAGGCAAATGATCTGATGGGGGTTGGGAGTGGAGTTCTTTCTTGTGGGAAATGGGGCAATAACGCCTCCCTACCCTCCTGGGACATGTGGAGACCTCGAGCACTGTGCCTGGCAGACAGGGGACACTCAGTGGGAGGTGTTGCTGCCCCAACAGGGCCCCAAAGGAGCTGGCTGCTCCGCCAGATGGAACTGGACACTACCTTCCTCCGGGAGCTCAACATGCTGGACTATAGCCTCCTGCTGGCCTTCCAGGGCCTCCACCAGGACGAGAATGGCCCGGGCAGCAGTCTCATCTTCTGCGTGACCAGGTGGGCACCCCATGGCAAGAAGGGGGTGCTGAGAGAGCTGGTTTGGGCAACTGCGGAGGCAGAGGGGCACCTTCCCTGGATGAGGGCCCCAACCGGCAAAGACATGAAGGCTGGCAAGTGCAGAGTAGTTGTGTGTGCACACATGCACATGCACGTCTGCGTGTGTAGGGTATCTGGGAATGTCTGGCTACTGGGAACCTAGGGTGCATGAGTGGCCCCCAGCAGGAGACAGGACAGGAGAGGTCCCGTAGACAAGGACTTGGGCACTGATTTGAAGACTGCCCATGTTTCAGCAGGGGCTGTGGAGCCAAGGGAAGCGCCAGAGCTTTAGAGAGTCCTTGCCACCACCCTTTTAGGACTCTGAGCTGAGGCCCCGGAGGTCAGCACCATGTTATCCTCACCTTCGTGGGATAACTGCCCTGTGTGTGCTGCCCACAAGCCTCACTGAGAGGGCTGGCATGCTCCCATTTCAGAGATGTGCAAACTGAGACTCTGATGGGAGAAGTGCTCACGAGGGCACGTGACTGGATTTCCATTCTCCCAGATCCACCTCCGTGGTTGAACAGGATGACACACAGGGACTGGGACCGAGGCTTTCAGAAAAGAACCCCATTTATCCGACGAGCGGACATGGGAAGTGAAAGACGAGGTTCTACTCACCCAGCCCTCCATCCTCAGCCCCCTGGGGGAGACCTTTGGATAGGTGAGGTCTCCAGAGTCAGTAACGGGCACTTTCTGGTGGGTCGGTAACGTGGCAGTCCCAGGGGGTGGATGGGTGGGCAAAACCCGACCATCCAAGTTATTTTCTCCCCTCCCCTTGACCCAGGCTGGTGCTTAGGTCAGGGTTGTACACAGATGAATATGGTGGTTGTTGACACATTGACACACTGCTCTGGCCCCATCCCAACCCCAGTTCCCAGTGCCTCCCTCAGAACCAATCCTGCTTTCCGACTAGCTAGGTGGGTAGAAGACAAGGACCCCGCCCCTGCTCGCTGAGCTTCAACAACTGGGTTCTCATTGGTCCGTGTTTAAGACAGTTTGTCTCTCATTGGCTTACTTTCCCCCAGGACTTGGGTACCAGATTTTGCCTTAAGTCTGTGCTGACTGATGGCCACCCCATGCATTTCAGAGTAGAACTGCCCTCTCTGGGATTCTCGGTGACTGTGATCTTAAAAACAAAACAGGTGCCGGGTGATGGGAACAGTTTGAGCCCTCAGAGCAGCAGAAGAAAGGCCTGGTGATCTGCTTTCGTCAAGATCGCAGCCAAGAAAACTCCACGGGGCAGTCCCGCTCTGTAACACACAGGGGTCGCCCAAGGGTGGCATCGACTCCATGGCCATGCCATGGGCTATTCGCTTGGAAGTAGATTTTTTTCTTCCGCAGGGCTACTTGATGAATTAGAACGTCCACCCTCTGGGTTAGCGGTCAAATGCAACCCATTTGCACCATCCAAGTGGCGCAGGAGTGAAGCCCCTCAGTTCCTCCCCACTGGATGACAAAGGGAGACCACTCTAACCTGCTTCTGGCTTGACCTGGGATTGGAGCCAGGGGCATCTTCTGATTTGGGATATGTTGTGAGGTGGAAAAGATGTGCGGCAGCACACACCGGTGCTGAGCTTTGCACCCAAGGCTCCCGCTCTGCTATAGTGAGCGGTGGAGGACCCCAAACAGAGGTTTAGAAAGGCTTACCCCACTAAGGGACTTACCCCAAGGCACCTCACACAGTCAGTGCAAACTGGGATCCCCCAGGACCCAAATGCTTTCCTCCAGCTCGACGCTATCCAATCGGATATAATCTGGCCAGACGTGTAATTTTATGCTTTCTAATAGCTTTTTTTTAATAGCCCCATGAATTTTAACACTATATTTTACTTAACCTAACATCTCCCAAAGTTTGGCATTTCAACATTTAATCAAGATAGAAAGAAGCCCTCGTGTCATTTTGGGTGATGAGTTGAGATGCTAACAGCAAGGCCAGGAGTTCGAATCCACCAGCCACTCTGCAAGGGAAAGATGAGGCTTTCTGCTCCCATGAAGAGCTAGTCGAGGAGCCCAGAAAGAAAAAAGAATGTTTGGACACGGACTGTGGTAGCAATTGTACAATCCTGCTTGACTTGAGTGAACGATGGAATATGATATATGTATGAACTCCCAATGAATAATAAATTTAAAAAATGTTTAAAGAGCTAGTCTCAGAAATCCAAAGGGGCAGTTATAGCTACCCTGTCCTATAGGGTAACTGTGCATTGGAATCCATTCTATAGCAGTGAGTTGTTTTTTTGTGGGGTTTTTGTTTTTGTTTTTTTTTGGAGTTTGGTAACTCCAAAATATATGACATTTTTTCATGCAGTCTTTGCAATTCGGGGTGTGTTTACACGGAGAGCAGACTCCCTCCGTTTTAAGTGCTTGGCTGCAGACCATCAAACCACACTTTACCCCACACGCCAAGGGCCACCTCAGTGGGGTGAGGGGGGTGGTGGGTTTCCCTGGCCAGGTTTCCCTGGCGGGTGGGTAGGCTGAGGTCCCCTTGTCTGTCCTCAGGTCTGTGCAGGGGACGTACAGCCCGGAGGAGCCAGAAGCTCAGAATCGCCGGCTGCTGCCAGACGTCCCCAACGCCCTGCACGTCCTCGACGGGCCCGAGCAACGCTATTTCCTGGGCTTCGTGGACCTCGCCACGGCCTACGGGCTCCGCAAGCGGCTGGAGCACCTGTGGAAGACGCTGCGCTACCCGGGCCGGACCTTCTCTACCGTCAGCCCGGCTCACTACGCCCGTCGCCTCTGCCAGTGGGTGGAGGCGCACACCGAGTGACCGGAGCCCGGCCACACTCACCCCATCCGACCCTGGGAGCTCGCGGTCGGGCTCTCCTCGCCGCCGTCCCTCCTGATGGCCGGCAGAGGGCAGCATCCCCTAGCACAATAGCAGCACTGCCCATCGAGTCCGCTGCATTAGCTCGTTTACCTCCCCAGAGCGCCTCTTCTCTTTATACAGACCTTCAGATGATGATGGGGGCGGGGGGCGACGGGAATCGAGGGAGCGATCACGCAGCAATAAATGCTTGAGCCCAGGCCTTGTGAATTCAGGAGACTGTTTCTTAACCAACAGCCCCCCAAACCCCTGTTTCTGGGGAAGGAGCGGCCAGAGATACCAACTCCCTCATCCAGCTTACCCAGGGGTGAGTAGAAAGCCAACCATGAACATGGGCCTCCTGACCCATGCCCCTGGCTCAGACCTTCTCTAGGGATTGGGGTGCAGCAGGTGGTATCATGGGGGCGGGAGAGTCTGGGGCCATGGGACACCTTCTGCTGCCATCCACTTGATCTTGAGTGAGGGTTGGCCCCCAGAACCTCACTTTTCTCATCTGTGGAGGGAGGCAGAGGTTGGCAGTCAGATACATCACAGGGGGTCAAAGCAGGGAGCGTGCAGACCCCTGATCTCTCCTTCTCCGTTCTCCAGGAAGCTCCAGCCAGGCCTCTGACCCAGATCCAGTCTGATGGGCTGCACCCAAGCTTCTTCCAGAGCTGTGTGACCAGGGCAAGGTGCTAACCCTCTCTGTGCCTCAGTGGTCTAATCTGTAAAATGGAGAGACTGAAAACTGACTTTGTTAACATATTAAACCTACACTGAGCAGCTGCCATGTGACAGGCCCTCTGCTGGGCAGCAGCGACACGGGGCAGGACAAGATGGACTGGCTGGGCACCCATGATCTGACACAAACAACCTGACATGACAAAGCTTCGCGGAGCTTGGGGACAGACTTGCACCTAATGATTGGTGGGTGGTGTCAGGGAAGGGGACTCTCATCTCTACACTGAGAGCAAAGAGTCAGACACACCCCTGGGAGGGCAGAGCCAAGGCCTGAGGGGGGGGGAGGAGGCAGAGCCTGGTCTTGGGGAGAAGTTTCACTCTGGCCTGGCAGGCAAAGTGAGAGGGGCCAGTGTGGGGTGGACACGGGCTGTGTGGACTGAGAGCTGCCCCCCAACCCAGGACTTTGGGAAAAAGCTCCTTTGCTTTACCACATACTGTAGAGCCTTTGGCCCTAAAAACCTCCAAAGAAAAAAATGGCTGATGGGGACTGGGCAGAAAGCGCAGACAAGGCTTATGCTGAGGGCTGCTGGGATTTCCTATTGTGTGGGTGATGGGTGACGTTGGGCAATTACTCAACCTCTCTGAGCTGACACACCACGGGGAATTTCTTGTTCTGGCTCAGCAGGAAGTTGAAACACCACGGATTTCACATCTGTTAAGCTCATCACTACGGGTGGTAGGATCTGGGGGGACTCTTGGGTGGCTGTGTGCAGGTGGGAACTGAAGTCTAGAGGAAGCAGGTGAGTCAGAGCCCCCGGGGCCTGCTCTCTCAGCTGGGAGGGCTGTCCCTCTTCAGGTCTCTGACAACAGGTCCAGGCAGAGCCTGGGGCTAGGGGGAGAAGTGACTGATCCAAGACCTCCTAGGCCCCAACCCTGTCTTTCCTAATGTGGCCACTCCGAAGACAGGCGCTGTTTGGAGTCAGGCTCTGTCAGGTCTAGGGGATGCCAGTGACATGACTGGCCCACCTCTTCCCAGGTGGCACTTGGAGCCTAGCAGGGAGCAGTGGTCATAACAAGGACACTGGGGTGATGTCAGAGAGTGGCAAATGCCATGAAGAACATATAAGGGGGGAGGGATGCAGTGCCACCCAGGGAGGCTGGCGAGAGCTTCTTGGAGGGACTGCCCTGTGAGTGACAAGAAGGAGCCAGCCCTGTGACTAGCAGGGTCCAGGCAGAGGCAATGCCAAGGACAAAGGTTGGTGAGTGTTTGTGTGTGTGTGTGAATTCCTTGGTCTTCAGGGGTCAGCAGGGTGCCCAGAGTGGGCGGAGGAAGCCAAGGATCAACTGCAGGGTTTGGTAGGGTGGGGTGAGAAGTGTGGGCTTTTTTGTCTCATTTCGAATTGTTTAGGTGAAAGTTTACACAGCACATAGGTTCCCATGGAACAGTTTGAATACAAATGACATTGTTTACAGCAGTCACTGTGCATCAGCATTCTTGCAGTTTCCATTCTGGTTGCTCCCTTTCTGTTGCTCTAGCTTCCCTGCCCTTTCTTCCCACCTCATAGTGGCTCTCAGGATGTTGACTGTTGGGTCTCCTGTCTCTGGTTGCTTAAGGAAACCCGTCGCTCATGGAAGATAGTGTTTATTTTATGAGTCAAATCTATTACTTGGCTGAATGATGACAGCCAGGAGTGGCTTTAATTTCAAGTTCAGAGTCTCTTGGGGCGTTCTTCTAGTCTCTTAGGGCCAGTGGCTCTGGTCTTGTGGGTTTTGTTTTTTTTAATGAGTTTCAGTTTTGTTTCATATTTTTTTCTCCCATGCTACCTGGGGCCTTCTATTGTCCCTGGTCAGAACGGCCAGTAGTGGTAGCTGGGTACTCTCCAGTGTTTTCCGTCTCAGGTTAAAAGAAGCTGTGATTTGCAAGGGCTCTTGGTCCTGTGGACCAGCTTCTTCTTGGACTCTGCCTTCTCTATTGTTCCACATGAGCACAGACCACATGAACACAGAGCACGGAGGTTGCAGGAGAGGCTCTCTCAGGACCAGTAGGTGTTGAAGTGTGGGCTTTGCAGAGAGCAGTCATTGTTGATGTGTGAGCTTTTCAGAAAGCCAAACTGAAGAGCTTTGGGTGGGACAACAGGACTTCCCAGTCTCAGTTCCAGTATGGCTAAATGATGGTGTGTTAGACAGAGTTCTCTAGAGAGATAAAACCAAATTGCTGATAATTTAATATATTTATTTATAAAGATAATTAGACATATAACAAGAAATGAACTGTTAAATCATATACAGATAAATATATAATACAAGAAATAAAGAATTAAATTATAAAGCACTACAAATGGCTCAGTGCAACTCATGTCCTTGAGAGAGAGTTGTGAGAGACTAGCAGTCCTTCAAGTCTAGTCTGCTGCCAGATCTTCCTCTATTTGTAGAGAGAGCTAGACTATGTCAGCACAGCAGCCAATCACAAGAAAGGTCACCAACTGCCAGTCCCCAGCTCCAGAGATGTCTTAAAGGGACCTCAACTTACAGCAACACAGTCCACAGGCTCGTGTAGCCTTTAAATTGAGGCACACAACAAGCAAGGCAGCCACACACTGGTCCGATGATCACAGAGCAAGAGACAAGAAAAGCGAGGCTCACCAAGCCATTTATCTCCCTGCCCTTCAGTTAATCCCACGTGTGTTTATCAGCCAGGCTGGCACAATAAACTACCTCAGATGGTCATCTGTCCTGGGAGACTAGGCTCTTTGGACATACCTTTGCCTTTGAGTGGCCTTAGTAGAGAGGGAGGTTTTTTCCTCCCGAGAAGGAATGACCACCTCCCCAGCCATTGTGGGTGGTGAGTGAAATCATTGTCCCCTTGGGGCTGGGTCTATAGAAAAGACATGAGAGAGATGAGAAGTTGGAGGTGGCCAGAGGGACCCTGGCTTGGGGACCCATCGAGTACCTTGCTTTATGCCAAGTGAGGGGCTACAGTGAGGGTGTGAGCCTGAGGAGGCCCAGGCTTGGGTTCCATTTATGTTGAAAGGGGCAAGTTGCCTGGCTTTTCCAGGCGAAGCAGGGAGGCAAGTGCAGCTTGGACTACGCTGGCTGGAGGCCTGTCTGTGGTCCTGGAGCAGGGGAGCCCTGGGAGGTTCCTGAGCTGGGTAGGGATGAACGCTCTTGCCTTGTGCCCAGACCTGTGCCTCTGAGAAGCGGGAAAGTGGAGTTTGAAGTGGGAGCCGGTGCCCGAGTGGGGTGGGACTGTCACGGAGGCAGGCTAGTGCCCCGGCCCTGCAGAGGGAGACGGGCGTGGCGGACATGGGTGGATGAGCTGGTTTGGGTCATACAGCATCTGTTTAAAAAGCTTTCAGAGGGTGGTCACATGCCCTCCACTTCACCATCCCTGCCTAGTGCTCTGCCCCCACCCTCTTTGATATTTTCTGCCACCAGCCAGTGTCCTGAAGGCATTTGCGTTTGAGATCCTAGGGACCCTGTCTAAGACTTCCAATAGGATCCTGCTTAGCATCTGCCAACACCCTGGTCTGGTTGGAGTGGATTTTTTAAAAAAAATCATTTTATTGGGGGCTCATACAACTCTTATCACAATCCATACATACATCAATTGTGTAAAGCATATATTCATTGCCCTCATCATTCTCAAAACATTTGCTCTCCACTTAAGCCCTTGGCATCAGCTCCTCATTTTACCCCCTCCCTCCCCACTCCCCACTCCCTCATGAACCCTTGATAATTTATAAATTATTATTATTTTGTCATATCTTGCACTGTCTGACTTCTCCCTTCACCCACTTTTCTGTTGTCCGTCCCCCAGGGAGGAGGTTCTATGTAGATCTTTGTGATCGGTTCCCCTTTGGTGTGGATTTGGTGGACACCTTAGCAAAGGCTCTTTGGAAGGTGGAAGTAGGTGGTAAGAACACCGAGCAGGATTCTAATCCCAACACCCACGAGCTGCCCCTTCTAGACAGCTGTAGCAAGGCCATGGCAGGGGATCGTCGTCTGGCCCCATCTAACTTCACACGGGGGAGGGGGATCAGGGTCAGCAACCCCAGGTTGATTCCTCTGAGGCAGAGGTCAGACATGTCTCCTTTCCCGAACCTATGTACCAATTCAGACCCCAACCACCCCTCCCCTGGCACGCTCTACTTCTCTGCTTCTAAACCAAACTCACTGCCATTGAGTCAATACTGACTTGTGGTGACCCAATAAGACAGGGTAGAACTGCCTTTGTGGGTTTCCGAGACTAACTCTCCCATGGAGCGGCTGGTGGTTTTGAACTGACGACTTCTCCGGTAGCAGCTCAACACGTAACCACTAAGCCACCAGGGCTCCTGACTTCTCTGCTAGGTTTGATAATTTGTTGCAATGGCTACAAAGGACTCACAGACAATCATAGGATGTGTTAGGGAAGCAACAGGTTACAATTCAGGATCAGAAATAACTCGGGATGCAGTTCTTTGATTAGTGCGGCTTCTCGGCAGTGCCTGCAGATGAGCCTCTCTCTGGCTCTCGGCCTCTCAGCTCCTGGGCGCAGCCTCTGCCTTGCTTAGACAAATGTCACAGAGCTCACAAAGCTCTGCTGATTAGTGCCCAGTGGCGCCCCACTCCACCAACAAGCCTCCCAGAGGTGGTACTCTGCTTTCCTGCTCCAAGGGCCAGGAAGCCCACTGCTGGGTTTCCTACTGGTCTTTGGCACCCATGGTTTCTCTGCTGCTGCTGCTGCTGTCTCACCACCCACTGGATTGATGAGATTCTCCAACTTCCCAAGGGTGCACTCCACACCTGCCTTTTCTTTCTGGGTGGTCCTGGGATCTCCCTTTCCACCTCTAGGATGGCACATCTTAAACCTAGTGGGACGGCAAAACCGACTAGTCCATGCTGGGATTCCATACTTCTTATTTGCATGGCCTCACTCCCACAAGGGTGCCTGGCTGTTTACTCCCTTGGTGGACCACAAGCACTTCATAGTCCTGCCTAGCCATACATACTTTGGAGAGACCAGTCCCTGGAGAAGGACATCATGCTTGGTAAAAATGGAGGGGCAGCAAGAAAGAGGAAGGCCTTCAAAGCGGGGGATTGGCACAGTGGCTGCAATGGGCTGTGGCACAGGAAGGATTGTGAGGATGGCCCAGGACCATTCGTTCTGCTGTGCACAGGGTTGCTATGGGTTGACGCCAACACAGTGGCACTTAACATTTGGTGGGAGTTACAAAGATAAGAGAAGGGCCATACTGCATCATGAAGGGGAGACACTTACCACCCTTTAAAAATAGCAACAAATAGGTGTCGTGGTCCAGTTGATTCCGACTCAGGGTGACCCCCATGGGCTGCCAGGTAGAGCTGCGCCTGGCACTGTGCCTGAGTGGCACCTTTCATGCCACTCGGGACCCTGCCTGACACCAATTGCTGCTGGGTTTCTCTGCCCAGCCCGCACTTTCTGAGACGAAGAAACGCCAGTACCGGAGGCCAGAG